TAAAAGTCAAAGACAGCTGGAGATTTTTCATTGTGGCTGTTAAGCGATGCTCCTAACATGAGTGCCTGTATAAGAGCTCCTGGTGAGGATAACAATGACACGATAACATCTTTAATAAAAAGTAGAGTATGTGCTGTAAATGCTGTGGACAACATGTTTTTAATTTGGTGGTTTACTATCAGAATTTTGAGTTTACAAGCTCTTAGCACTTCCCCACACAAGAAGTGTGCAGTTTAAATCAAAACGCAGTAGCTATGGATGAATGTACACTAAGCATTTATTGACTAAATAAGGAAAAGACAAGGATCCATGTTTAGGAGTTCAGGGGAATACTTAAGATCACCTTGACATATGCACTTTGTTTCTCAATTTTAGTATTATTATTATTATTATTGATTTTACTCATAAACGTTAATGTATCTTTAATCGAGCGATTCCAACCAGATGCAATTGTAATCTGCAATCTGTACGCTAAGTAAGGTAGCAGCAGAAGGCTTTTGGCATGGTAAGCATAGAAGCGGAAATCAGGGGGATACAGCCTAGTCTAAGTAAAAGACAAATAATTCATTTTAAAAAAAAACAGCTCTGCTAAAGCTCAGTAATATATTTTATCTTCATTATTTAATCCCTGCAGAAAAATGTAGAAGGAACCAGTTGTGACTTCATGATGAGTTATGTGCTGCAGTGCTGCTCATAACTGGAGGGGCATGAGGGTTGTCCCAGCATGCATTTGGCAAGTGGCATGGTACACCATGGATACATACAGACAAATATTCACATCTACATTTGTCACCACATGCTCTTAACTCCATGTCTCTGGACTGTCAGGGGAAATGAGACCAGGTGGAAACCTGTGCAGACAGAGAGAGATTATGCAAACATTTCCCAGAAAGACCATTAAACATGATGCAAAAAGCAGTTGCTGCCATTTCATACGTCCTAGTTGAGGGCAACACTGGAAGTGTATTCACGTCATAATGCTGCCCCTTAGTTTCATCACACTCCTTTATCTTAACTTAGAAGTTTAATTATATTTTGTTGGCCCTTGTGAGAGGAAAGGATTACATAAACTCCCCAGATCTAAGAAAAATATGCAAATAATCAGTGTCTTTCATCAGCAGCAGTGAATTCAGATTTGACAGACACCAGGTCTGTGCCTGACTGAGCAGAACATTGACAATGTAAACAAATCTCAGAATAAATTATTACCTACATATCTTTGTAGTGGCTCGGACTGCGTGATGCGATATAGCTGAGATTTGACACGTACAGTGAAACCAGATGCTCTATCGCGTGTCGCTTTGGTTTGGCACGGCTGCTGTTTGTCAATGCGGAGTCGGCTGGTTGCACTCAGGGGGTACGAGGTGCATTGGAGACAGATGTAGAAGTTTCCCTCAGGATGCTGTCAGAGATTTTGTAGATGGATAGGGTCTTATAGGACACAAGATGGATAAAAAGAGAGACAAGGGACGGCGATCTTGAAGCAGAGGGGAGAGAGACAGGAAGACAGATGGAGAGACATGAGAAGTGAAACACAAGACAGATTCAAAAGTCACATTAAGAGATGGAAAATAACACCAGGGAGGAAGTTAAGGATGCATAGACAGAAGAGACAGAACATGATGGAGAGTAGAGTGAGGTTAAATGGAGAGACGGAAGAGAGGTGAAGATGGATAGACAGCAGGAGAAAGAGAGGTTGGTGAGAGGTGAGGCTGTAGTGTGGTATCCACACTGAGCCGATGAGCTGCTGGAGTGATAACAAGCTACAGATGGAAGCTGTTAGCTTGTGTGTGTGTGTGTGTGTGTGTGTGTGTGTGTGTGTGTGTGTGTGTTTGTGTGTGTGTGTGTGTGTGTGCAGTGGAAGTTTTTGTTTTTAGATTTGTTTATATTTACTGAGTGATTTATGAGATTCAAAGGTAGAAGAAGACATCAGAGAGGACATTAGACCTGGCAGAGGGAATCAGAGAGATAACTTCTCCATCTGTGGATGAAAGTTAAGGAAACTGGATCAAACTCTTATCATACAACCAATGCACAATAAGACACACATCTGAGAAAGAGATAATGCTGCTATGCACATTCTATGCACCTATTTTAACCCAAAGATCATCTTACCTTAACTTTCACAAAGTGGTTTTTATTACTTTTTAGTACTTATCCTGTCAATCGTCATAGTTTAAAATGAAATTGTCTTCTCTCCTGCTCATTATTCATTCTTCTGTCCTTCAGTTAGCTGGGTCAGATAGTGCACCCTCATATTTGATGAACACACATAGTTTACAAAAATCCGATAGCTGTACCCTGGTAACCTGACAGTGTCCATCCTCTGTAATCTCTCCTGTCAAAACAGAGAGGTGTGCTGTGAACACTAAATCCTGACCCGATATCTGTGAAAGGCCTCAGCTCACACACACACACACACACACACACACACACACACACACACACACACACACACACACCCACACACAGATAAACATGCAAAACCATATCCTTGTCTCATCACACGCATGCACACCCACACATGTTTTCTTGTCAGTCTTCATCACTCTCCCTGCAACTGCAGGTCATCACAGGCCTCAGAGCTGTGTGGAAACTGTTGAACCCGAGGAGACAGAGAGTCATCAGCTGTGGACGCGTAGAGCCGCCCTCATGTTCTGCTGATAAACTATCATGAAAACACTGATCAGACCTTCCTGCTGAAACATCTGGATTCTGCATATCTGCCGCTATCGGTGCAGGGTATTTAGGTGCTTTCAGACATGTTGGACATTAACTGACATTTTCTGGAGGGGCCTATGTGAGAACTGTCCACGTCAGTTGCTCAGAACATTTTCAGGAATATTCCAGACCCAGAAAATGTCTGAATGCAGCTGGAAACAAATATCAAAACGTAGGGCTGGGTGATATGAATCATTTCAAACTTTTACGTCGATGTAGATTCATGAATGATTATTTAAATTGTCCAACAGCCACAACGGTACATAAATTTAATCTAGACTGAGGAAACAACAAATTTGACATAAAAATGACATATATTTCCATTATCTTATTCCATACAATTTCACCCTTTGCATCTTCTAATTAGGTTCCTCATCTTCCTCTACCAGTGCCCAATAAATCCACCAGACATCAACCCTCTCTGTCTGTCTCTCTCTCTACTCATTATTTTCTAACTCTTACCAGATGTAAAAATCCACCCTCATCTCTTCTCTCTCCAACTTTATCTTTCTTTCTTAACTTTCTCTGACTATGCCATTCCGTACCTTGTCCCTGATGCCTCCCTGTTTGAGTGTCTTCAGTGCTATATTTTCCCAGCAGTGTTAAATTTTTATGTCCTGTCTTTCTTACAAAGCCGTTCCCCTTATCGCTGTCTTCAGATGTGTTTTCAGAGCATTTAGCAGGCATGGATGTACGCTTCAGTGATGATTCACCCAATTTTGCGAATGGATTTGATTTGTCTGTTGCAGAGAAACCTTTAGGGAATTTATATGCAGTAGAGAGAATAGATGATGAAGTGTTAAACTGTTAAAGTTTCCTCTGCTCTAGTAATGAGGTTGACCGAATGAGAGACTGTTTGAATGTGTGTAGTATTATAAACATAATCTTATTGGGCATTTTAAAGATGTCAGAGGGCTCTGGGAAATTGTAATAGATGATTTTCATTATTTTCATTTTCTGATTTTAGCTTGACAAGTAAATCAAGTGACCTAATAATAACATTTTGATAAATGGATTAATAATTCTTACTCGTAGCCCTAAAGTGATGATGTATTAAGCGTGTGGGAGTTTATGACTTAAGAAACAGAGACCTCTTAGAAAAAAAAAGGAAATCAACTGTTTGTGTGTGTGAAGGCCTCAGTGATGGACAAGGTGTCACTGGTGCAGGGCCCCATGTGCTTCACTCAGTCAATACCTTTGCTGAGTGGCAAGTGAGTGAGGCTGTTTTCTCACAGGTTGTGTGTGTGTGTGTGTGTGTGNTGTGTGTGTGTGTGTGTGTGTGTTTAGGACCTGGTGAAAAAAGAGAAAAGAATAACGAGTGTGACAGACTAGTGATGAGCGATAGACAGAGAGACGATTCAGACGAAGGACTCCTCCACCAAGTTTGAAATACCAATGACGTCTTCTCACACACATCTCTCTTTCCACATCTTGTTACCTAGACAGAGAGAGTGTCAGAGAGAGAGAGAGGGTGATACAGGAGAAGAGACGGTATGAAAACAGAGAGAAGAGGTGTTTGTGTGAGAAAGTGGAAGGTGTGGAAGCTGCAGGAGACTGACAGGCTGAGAAGCAGCAGGCTTGTGCTTGTGTTTATGCACTGGTGTGTGCATACTGTGTTTGTGCATGTGTGTGTGTGTGTGTGTGTGTGTGTAAAGGCGAGGGAGGACACCCGGCATGTAGCTGAACTTGAATTCAACCCGCTCCTGCAGGGTTGCATCAACCTTTTGACTGTGAAGCTGTCTCTCAGAAGGGAGAGCCAGGTGCATCCTGGTGTGTAGTGTTGCACTGTTCTCAACCGGCCTGTCTAGAATGTTCTATTTTCTTGTCCTGTGTTATTGCTTAGGAGCTACTTCAGAATTATTCCATGTCATCAGTGAGTCCTCCTCAAACAGTTCTACAATTCACTTTTTATTGTTTGTGTGCTGGACGATGTGTGAAGAGCTTTTCAAAACAGTCTACGGTGCAGAGTGAAGTAGGAAACTTTGTGTTCATCCTACCTGGTTTATCTGCAGTGAAGACTTTCTACTCATGCTTTTCATAAAACTTAATCATAAAACTGAATTTGCTTTATCACATTTCATGTGAGTGGTTTATATGTAAGAATGAATGATTAACTGAGCTGCTGTTAATCAACCATGAATATCTTTGTCAGTCATTAATGAAATAAAACAACAAACTATAACAAATTACCAAAATGATCTGGCAGGGATTTTAACTTGAGGTTTGACCCAGTTGCCATTTAATACATTTGCTCATCCTTTCCTTTCCTCTCTCTGCAGACCTGCTGTCCACCAACAGGTCTTCTGTCTTCAGCGGTCACCACGGTCAGCTCTCTCTCACCGCTGTCTTCCTGGATGAGTACCGCGACCGTCTCTTCCTGGGAGGGAAAGACATCCTGTACTCTCTCATGCTGGGACCTGTCAGCAGCGAGTCTAAAGAGGTGAGCCTTTGAAATGCAGTAAATAATATCAGTCAAACTGCTGTTATTTTTTATGTATTCTGTTCTGCTTTCAGGGTTGATTTACAGTAAAAGGTTAGTTACAGTACAGTCTACATGCAGAACAGTAATTACATTTTGATTTAAGTTGCAGTGATTTAAGAGTTGTCAGTCATGATGTACAGCTTAAAGAGATGGGCATAGAAATCTGTGTTTTTCCTGTGTTCACTTTTTGCAGAACATCTGGTAAAACACTCCTCATCATAAATCAACCATCAACTTGAGCAACCATTTTATTTTATTATACTACTATTGCATCATTAGTGAAACAGTTTCAGAAAACAGTGATGAAATTAAAAAATGAATTAAAAAAAGCCTGTTTTAGAAGTAAAGCTAAGAATGAATGGATTACACATGTAAATTGTCCTAATTAATAGTTTCTTTGTGATACAGAGTCTTGTTATCATGTCTGTTTTCACCTCGGGCTCTTGATCTATAAACAGCAGCCTTCAAACATACTCTTCAATCAAATTTTATGTCCTCCTTCCTTCCTTTACCAAACACGTTCAGGGTCTCATACCATTGCTGCAGGAACACCTGTAAAAGTGCAGCCATAAATCAAGCATTGTGTTTCTATCTACTTCACCTCTAATCTGTGTATGAATTTGTCATTAAGGCTCATGTCAAACACTTACAGATTCTTTTGGTTTGCCAGAAACACATGAGAGAATCATTATGATCCAGTTTCACTTTCAACACAGTGAGTCTCACCAACAGGGAATAACGTATGCTCTCATGGTATTGTTTCATTTATCCTAAATATTACATCATTGATTAGCTGTTTGAATAAAGTTTATTCATTTTGAGAAGAATCATATTAATATGCTTCATGTCACTGATGCAATGATTTGGCATCTTGGTTTAAATCAAGAAGACCAAATACAGTATGTTAACAATTATGGAAAAATATGGGTCTCATTTTCCAATGGAATTTATGTTTAGAGTAATTTATTCAGTGCAACAGCAGACATGGATATGAGTTGTGCTGTTTGTAGAGTTAGGGAGTTATTTCACCTTTGAGTTATACCTTCAGAGTTTTTGGAAGGCTTCAGTACCAGGGACATGAGTAGATTTAAAGGGATAGTTGAAAATTCACTCAATATCTACTCACCACCATGCTGATGGAGGGGTGGGTGAAGGGTGTTTGAGTCCGCAAAACACTTTTGGAGTCTGAGGGGTAAACAGCGTTGCAGCTGAATCCAGCACAGTTGAAGTAACTGGTGTCCTCTTCTTCAGACGTAATAAAACAACTGAAAAAAGACAACATGCCTCTGTACTGCTCATGTGGTGTCATCCAAGTGTCAGCAAGCCCTGACATTCAAATTCAACTGGAAATGGCGTTATTTACACTATAGTTTAAGCCTTAAAGAATTTGTGTCTGTGTAGAGGAAAAATTTGAAAAAAATATGCAGCCAATATTTTCCATATATTTTATTTTCCATTGAAAAACAGGTTTCTAGTATGCAAAGAACAAAAATACATCTCTACGAGAGAAAAAGAGAGAAATCCCCAGTGTGCTTCAACCACTTAAACCACTTAAAGAGCTTTACATATGTTTGTGTGTGTGTGTGTGTGTGCGCACACACGTGTGTGTGTGTGTGTGAATGAATGAGTGAATTTCAGTGCTCCTACTTGGGTTGAAGACATTAAGTGAATGGGTGAATGGGGAATTTCAGATCAGGATGCCGCCCACCTCGTCCACACTTTTATTCTCCCTCATCCCTCACTCAGCCTCCTCTCACTGTTCTCTTGGCTGATGATCACACATGATGCTCGCTGATACTTAATGCCTGCGCTTCTGTCCCTGCCAGCCATTGTGAGATCTTTCAGCGATGCCAGTTCAGTGAAACAAATGTTTACAAGACTCCAAAGTGTGCCAAACGCACCATAAACCACTGCTAACAGAAGGAGAGAAAAAAAATAATTGAATGAATTCAAACAATTTTTGACATTTTATCTGTCAGTGTTGCTATGACGAGCAGCACTAGTGTTGAAAAGTCATGATCACTGCATCGTTATATAAAATTACAACCTTGGGATCTTGCTGAGGATTCTTGAGGTTTGAAACAAACACTAAACATATTCACTTTCTTTCTGAGTTTGAGGTTAGAAAATAAATACCATGTTAATTTACAACAGAACAAGATGCATTTGTGTTTCTGTCTACAGAAGCAGATTATTTACAGATGTAAACTATGTTTCTACCCCAGTACCATACTTTACCTAATGAAACAAAATCGTATTTCAACCTTCTCGTCTCAGTTTTGAAAAGAAAATGTTGTCAGGAGACTAATTATCTTTCATTTTAAGATATGTATTTTGGGTTGAAGGTCATCCTCATCCCTTTGTTTGTTTGTTAATTTCTTCCTTTTTTCCTTCATTACTTTCTTCATTGCTAACTTTCTTTCTTCCTTACTTTCTTACCTCCTTCCATCCTTACTTTCTACCTTAGTTCCTTCATTCCTTAGCTCCTTAGTCTTCTGAAGAAAAAACTGATTCATCCTGAAATGAAAAAAGATGAAAAATAAATTTTCCTAACTTACATTGAAATGAAATTTTTCATTCATTACTTTCTATGCATTTGATAAAAATTCAATTTTCATAACCAGAATTAAGTCGGAAACCACTGAGAAATATGTTTTGGTAGCCAAGTCTTCCAGCTCAAACCAACTTTCTATATCACTTGCACATCAAAAACATGTTTGCCGTCCTCAGTTTCCACTATAAATCTGATCAGCACTGCAGTAAAATAATAAAAGGGAGTACGATCAAATTCTTAACTCAAGGCTTTTGTTGAAAATAAGTTAAATGCTGTTATATCAGCATGGTGTTTCTGCCCAGGCTTTAAACTGGATCCAACACTGACTGAGTCACATCTGAGAGGGGAAACATTTCACTTAATGCAACCACCCGCAAAAACACTGAAACAAATTATGATTTAGCCCAAGTAAATGTTTCAAATGATGGAATAAATAGTCAACTTTAAACATTAATTTTTGGTATCTGGTATACAATCTGATTGCTGTTTATAAAATGTTCCATGTGTTCTTTTTGGCTTTTGGAAATGTGTTTGGCACGTGTCAAAATCTTTGTCATGTCTTTCAGCATTTTCAAATGACTGGTTTATTTTTCTCAGTGTTTGGTTACGTACAGTGTATGTATGATTTTGGAGATGGTTGCTAGTGAAGTTGGATTAATCTGTTCTGCCTCAATGGAAAACTGTGTAAAAAGAATTATATGGTGATAAAATCAGAAGAGATTTGAAGCTTCTCTCCAAGAGTTGTGTGCAGTAGTTTGCACTGTTGCCTCAGGAGAAGGATTTGTGTTCAAACCTGCTTGCCAGTCTGGGCCTTTCTGTGTTGAGTTTGGATATTCTCCTTGTGCTTGTTTGGGTTATCTCCAAGTACACAGTAGGCATCTGTTGACTCTAAATTTCCTGCAGGTGTTAATGTGAGCATGGATGGTTGTGGTTCTCTTTATATTGACCCTCTGATGACCTGTTGACTTGTCTGGGGTTTGTCCAGCCTCAGGATTAGCTGCTCTTCTACACCCCTCAAAGGATAAGCGGAGTAAATGGATGGATGTTTAGCCTTGATGCATCCTGATTCAGTTAAATATAAACTCTCGATCTTTCAGCTGCTGCTGAATTTTGCAATATAGTATAGTCCAGTTCTTTTATTTTCAGTAAGAGTTACTGCATAAGTTCACTGCACATAAATCATACAAGCAAAAGAATGAAGCCAAAATATAAAGTTGATAGAGAAAGTTTTTTTCATATTAATGACCACAAGGTAAATGACAACCTTGATAAAAGTGATGCATTGATTTGTAAATTCTATTGTGTCCATGTTGTAAAAACTAAGTCTGGTTCATCAAAGTTTCAGCAGTTGTTTCCTCTCATTCCTCAAGTGATACATTGTGGACTTTATCTCTTTCCTTGGATGTTTAGTAGCTGGCACATGAACAAAGATTTTTATGTCTACCCGCTCAAGCATTGTGTCATGGTGTTTTGACAAGATCCAGTTTATTCACAAGGTCAGTTGAAAGTGTTGGAAAGTTAATGTCTTTGCACTTGAAACAAAGACTGCTAAGCTAAGTGCTCAAAAATATAACAAATGTGAATAATTTTCCAGGGTGGATTAAAAATTAAAGAGGCCCTTGAAGAGGCCCAGTCACAGCAATGACGGGTCAGGAAACAGCTAAACAGAGGAGGGAACATAACACATGGACGGCCAGTGGAGGTCAGCCATAACGTGTGTCGTGCAGGAATCTTGGATGATGGATGGGATTGAAACCATTGTCAGCCAGGTTTTAGCCAGGGTCTGACTTAATCAGTATCAGTCAGGCGTGTTATCCGGCTGCTCTAGGTCAGACTGTGAGTGTGAGCCAGGCCTTTTAGCGGGCACACGTCCATATCAGTCCAGCATCATGACAAAGAAACTCACCAAGAGATCTTAACCACTTTAGGCCAAGCCCAACACCGACTCTAATTCAGTGGCATGAAACCAATAATTGTTTCTCATGAATTCCAACTGTTGCAGGCCAGTTTTTTTTTCTTACTAAATCAGGTCAGGTGTGATTGAGGAGGTTTATATTGAAAACATCAGTAGAGCTTTATGTTATGCTGAGAGTTTTAACCAACACTAATATATTCATTACATGGAATGTTTACATTTTATTTGCGGTCAAGCTTACTCTTAGTATTACTTTGAAAATTTGGGAAGATATGCTTATTCCGTTTCTTTTCAAGAGAAACGGAATAAGCATAAACTGTGGATTTAATCCTCTGAATGTAAAATACTGAGACTTACTATATCAATCAATCAATCAATCAAATTGATTTATATAGCACGGTATCACAACAAGCAGTTGTCTCAGGGTGCTGCACAAAAATCCATGATCTTAAGAAACACAAAATCCAACTTGTTCCACACCGAGCAAGCATGAGCAACAGTGGGGAGGAAAAACTATATAAAGCCAAGACTTTCCATAGTAACACTTCTTGTAAGTGCATCTTCCTCTTATTCTTCATTTTCTTTGTGGTTAAATCATATAATTGTAATTTAAGGTTTAAAGTCCAAGTTACACTGAGGAGGAGGAAAATTAGCTGTATGAATGTGCCAAAAGAAAATCTATATTGTAAATGTGATTTTAAAGTATTTTCCAGTCTGAAGCAACAAATGTGTCAAATAATTCACAGTTTAAGTATCTAGAGGAAGTTTTTTTCATTCTTGGCACATTTCCATTTCTTTAACAGAAAAAAACTAGCATTACTTCCCCACTGTTGTACGTCTCAGCCAACCAGTCAAGTTGCAGGAAATATGGTCACAATCTCCCTATTTGTTCCTGAGTTATGGCCAGAAAAGTGTATTTGCGGAACACACTGAAGTTCACTTTTGACCATTTGGGTATAAACTACTTAATCATTTAGTTCTATCAGACATTTGTGTCAGTTATCTTAACCTTTGACCTTTAACCACTAAAATCTAATCTGTTCATCTTTCCCAAGATATCACAAAATGGAATTAATTGACAGAAAGACGGACAAGCTGAAAACATCCCTCCGGTCATAAATAACACAGAGGCAGAAAAAAAGCTGGAAGAATGGAAATGTGTGGAAATATGACTGAAAAAAAATTAAACAAAATTAAATATTCCTGAATGCATTACACAGGACTCACACGGAGGCTTCAGTGGATATGATGCTCATTCCCTTTGAATAGGGTGATCTCATGTGTTACCAAACTGCATTGTTATTCAGTTGTGTCCCAGTTGTCTAAATGAAAGCACAGCCAATCAAATCATGTTTAAACAAACACACAGTGCAGAAGCTAGCCAATCAAATCATGTTCATGTGGTCAAGGGGCCTGAGGCAGCTGGTGAATCTGGTGTGTTCATCTGGCTGTGGGTTTCATTTCCCTTATACTTCTTTTTAGCATTGTATTGAACGGTATTATGGTACATAAGCTTGAGAGCGGGATATGTTGTGTGATCCAAGTTGTGTGATGCAATGTTGTTGTAGTTGTGATCACATACGTGTGAGTGTAGGTTTTTCCGTTTCCTTACATGTTTAGGCACTGTCGGGGTTGAGTACTGCATTTACAGTTCACTATATTAAAGCACAGCTCACGAGTTTGTGTAAAACAGTTCCTGATTCACACACTTTATTCATACATCACTTTTGATAAAGATGACTGTGAGATTTTAGTTTTCAATGTGTTTCAGTCATTGTGATCTACAATCAATCCACTATTCTGTCTGTGAAGACTTTCAATTCTTGATGGACAAGTTGAAATATATTTCATATTTGAAAGTTTTCCTGCTGATATCAAGTTGAAGGTGTGATGAGTTTCAGAACAGAAACAGGTTCAGTTTAATACCAACGACTCAGAAACTTTCATTCATATCATCTTTCTCTGTCACTTCATCCAAGTTTCAAGTCACACTGTTAAACAACACAGTAGCATATCTATAACAGTATAGACCACGGACTCACACATGCTCCCATACGCACTGAACACAGACATGGTAATGTAAGTCAGAAACATTAGCGCTGCTCTCTGGTTTCTATTCTCCATGTTAGCAAAAACAAAGCAATGTTTCCTACTGGACCAGACAAAGACTTACTGTCTCTGAGAAACTGTACGGTAGTCGCCTTGAAACTGCAGCATTACACATGTCATTGCAGCTCCGACACTGGGGCAGAGTCAGACTTTCCTCTTCAGGGGCAGTTGGATTTCATTTTTCATTTCCAGAGAGTGGTGTGAAAACTAGCCCCATTGTTTCAGATCCAACTTTTTATTTCATGCTTATCTGACCTTCACCTCATCTCCTCATTGGATTTGGAAAGAGCGAGAGAAAGACCTTTCCTAATCTGAAAATCTTGGATCCATCCTGTGAGAACTTGACTTGAAAATTGTTTTATTTATTTATATCTTGTTTTGCTTTTGTAAGCTTCATATGGAGACACCGAAAGACCGACTGAGCACAGCTTTCCAGTTTGTTTGGAGCAAATGGTCTCATTTCATTTCCAGGCGCAAAACAGAAGAAGCTGATTTTTGAATTCCTTTATAGAATAAAAAAGCAAACACTGCACATTGTTGGCCAACTAACTCAGAATAATCATTAGTTGTTCTTAGTATAGTGCTTATTAACTGTGTCATTTTTTGGGGGGGGCTTATCAGTTTTAATTCCAGTAATTAACATATCTCATTACTGAATTAATGTGGCAGATTTGTCTGGTGCTGAAATGAAAAATGTGAATATTGTAATTAACTAGCAAAATCTATCTCCTGCAACAATCTCCTAAGTAGGTCCAGAGAAACTGTGTGGAGTCAGTGGGTTATCCAGAGTAAACAGTTCATTGTTTTAGTGCGGGCATGATGCCGTTGGTCATTAATCTATTCATTTAAAGTTGTCAGCATCACAAGAGAAATCCTTTTCACCTCTTTTTATTGGGGTGGAGGCAGAAATCTTTGAGACATCGATGAGACGATGATGTCATAACCTGAACATGTGAAATCTAAATGATCTGTTCGGCCAAAGTAAAATGAGTGAAGTAAAATAAATCCCACTATGTTGTTTTGTGATGTGTGTGAACCAACCTATATCCACTGGCTTGTGCTTCTGGTTTTATAACTGAAATGATGGATGTGTCCGTCTTGTCTCAATTACGATTTCAGTTTTACAAGCCAAAACTTCACTCCACACGCTCCTCATTCCAAAGCCTTTTCTTCAACATTGTGGCATCCCCTCTGCTCAATTTGCTTCTAATTACAATAAGTTGGATTTGCAGCGAGAATAATTCAAATTTAATGACACAGCAGCTGATTATTATGTTTGGATTGTATAAACAGTCACACACAGTGTGGCAATTACATTTTGCAATATGGCTGAATAAAGGTGCTTGTCTTCAAGTTATGAGGTCGTTAATCATCTCTTTCTTCCTCTTTTTCTGTTCTTCTGTCTTTCTCTTTTTTTGGTCTTCCTTCCATAGATCAACTGGCCCCCGTTACCTGGCAATAGAAAGGAGTGTATTGAAACAGGGAAAGAGCAGGTAAGCAACATCCAGTTAATTACTCTATATTAAATTTTTTAAATAATATTTGTTTTCGGAAGAGGTGGATGATTTATTTCATAGAAGCTTTTTCTGAAACACTTTCTTCATAAAGCTGAACAAATTGTGCACTTGTTGATGGATAATAAAACATGGATAACCCATGTTGACTCTGTCTTTGTGACCATTTTCTTATTCAGACTTTTTGACCTTTTGCTTTTGTTTATTAACATTAGAGCAAGTTGTCACTCCACACCACATGAGAAGAGTAAAGTGGTACACTAGTAATGTCCTGTGGTTTGTGAAGCACCATTATCTAACCTTTATTTAATATTCAGAGAAGAATATGTTAAGATCCTCCTTATGTTCATAAAGTAACAATGAATGAAGTGACTGGGTTTATCCATGATGTTGAGCAGCAAGAATGCCTCCAGTTACAAAACAGTGAGGTAACTCTCTCCATGGCACATGTGTCCGGCAAACTCTGGCTTGTCAAGTTGGTCCCTGTGCTCTCAGAGATTTTGACTTCTCACCAACCGAATCCTGAGGCCACGTCAGCATCTTCTCTGCTCTGCTCTTACCGACTCGCTCCGATTCTGCTCAGTTCATTACAGTGCTAAATCTTTATGGGATAAAAGCTCTCTATGCATTTGCTGTACTTTCTAAACAGCAGTCCGAGAATGCCTGGCACATATGATGGGAGGTACAAAATTTCCCCTCAGCATTGTACCCTCAAAGGCACTCTTAATCAGTTAAGTGACATGTCATGTTGTGCTGACTCTTCAGTTTCCTACACCCTAAAGCAGTTGGTCTAGTTGCTGCTCCCCGACATAAATGAAAAATGTACAGTAAATTATATGACTCAGCAGTCTAATAAACTTTGTCTCTGAAGTGTAAAACCGCACTCAAGATAATTTAATAGTCATAATGAAATTTCAAAGTTGCCATGTCTGAGGCCAGAACGATGCTTTCAGAAGAGGGTTGTAGTTGTAAACCTTTATTGGTTCTGTGGTGATGTAAAGGGAGGAGGGGCTGTATCTCTTAACAAAAGACCAGAAGGGAACGAGGGGTGAGCCTTAAGCAACACAATGGAACAATTTATCTTGGCCACACTTAGGTGGGGGGGGCACATATTGAGGCAGGTTGAATATGCAGCTGAAGGAATATGCATCTTCCTGATTTGCATATTCCTTGTAGTTACTGAATATGAAGTGAAATATTCACAAAATATCACCGTTATTACCATATAACTATTATTATCAGTATTCAGGGAGAATTCCAACTCATTTTAATCATGTGCAGTGATGGATTACAGTAATCAAATATCTCATATATGCTGTAGTCACTAAATGTTCTTCAGAATCAAATCCATATTTGAATGAATACAGTTATAATGTAGGGTTTTCTAAGTTTGAATGAGTGTGTTTGGAACTTGCTTCAGTGACAGGACAAATGAGAAAAACTACATGCTGGATACCATTGACAATTTATTGCAAGAAAAAGAAAGGCTCTGATTTTATAGTTGACATTTTCAATGCAGTTCAATGACTAATTCACAGATACAGGGGAATAAAAGCTTTTATTTTGATTGTTGAGCCATGCGACATGGTGCAAAACCTTGCTGATAAAAACACAACATATAACAATGAATTCAACTGTCCATTTGTTACTGTTTTTCATGTACTTAAAGGTCCAGTGTGTAAGATTTAGGTGAAAGGGAACTATTGGCAGATATTTAATGGAGAATAATCCTCATGATGTTTTCACTAGTTCATTTCATCTAAATTGTATGAATTGCAGTGAAATCAGGTGTGTTCCCATACCATTTCCATACCAAGTTTGGTTGTTGCAGTTGTAGGTGTGTGAAGTTTACTGTGAAGCGTGTTGCAAATGTTCCTGTACGGTACTAGAGTTACATAGGGCAATAAAGCCATCAAAATGATTTGAATAAAGAAAAGGAGAGGAAAGTGTGAGATGAAAAACTCAAAGGGAGTTTCCAAAGCAATCACCTTTAATAATGTCAAGAAACAAACTAATTCAGAATAATGTTTCAGCTTTGGAAAATGCATAGTGTCATAAAATGGAACCAGTGTCCATGAATGTGTCAGCACCTTGAGTTGTTTACCGCCTCTTAAGCTGACTCAGCTCTGTTTGTTCGCCTGGAGGCCTCAAAGAAGCAACTTCACAGACGATGAAGGAGAGAGGAGATGGTAAAAGGACAGAATGGAGATGATGATGGTTTAAAAGGCATCATAAACATGGAAGACATGACTAATACGGGTTGGAGGATTTAGTTTTTGTGAGAGGAGTGAAAGGTAGCCAATGTATGGATGGTAATGACAGTGAGAGAGTTACTCCAATATTCATTGGATTGCCATTGCATTTTGTGAACATGGTTTCCCTACAGGATAATTTCTAACCTTTAATCATAAACTAATTAGGAGTTTTTTTGTCTAGTGCCATCAAGTCAAAAATTACATTTTTACTGTACTTTGGTTTATGACCCAATGCTTGCAAGACTATTTAGATTCCGATCACAAACCTAGAAAACAAGAAATAAACAAGCTACTAAAGATATGACACAGTAGGAAGGAATAAATGAAGGAAGACAGGAAGGAAGTGGAAGAGACTGATGTCTTTTTGCTTTGATGTTTCGAGACATCATTAAATTTGGTCTCAGTTGGTGAGGGAGCTCTCAGTGGCTTTAGTGGTGCTCCGAAACTGGCACTAATTAGTACTCACACACACACACACACACACACACACACACACACACACACGTAAAGTGAAGACACACTGATGTGAGGATTTTAAATCTTCTGCTCATGGAAAGAAGTCCCACTGCCACCTCCATCTGGAACCAGTTAGAAAGTGTGTGTGTGTGTGCGTGTGTGTGTATATGGGTATATATTCTGTGTTTGAAGTGACAGGTGTGTCTTGGGTGTCTCATATCAGTTTTATTAAGTGTTTCCTCTGCACACCACTCACATGGCACTTGGTGTGTGTGCGTGTTTGTGTGTGTGTGTGTGTGTGGTTATACGAATGTGTGTTTGAGTGTGTGCACATGCTACTGTCCATGGAGAAAAGAAGTCAAGTGCATTATCACACAGACCTTAAAACTCTACCTTTGACTTGTGCCCAAGGAATTCCTAGTGTGTGTATTTGTGTGTGTGTGTGTGTGTGTGTGTGTGAGAGAGAGAGAGAGAAGGCAAGCGAGAGAGTAACCGTGTGGATAACAGATAGAGGTGTTTGACTCTTTTTGCCAAACTACACAACTGTCTGCATTCCTTCAAGTCTTTTACTTTTTGGCTCATTGTTTTACTCAGTGTCAAGTTAGATGAATTACTGTTATATTGTGGCATCTACAAAGCACAAAGTCACACACAGTAAACACACACACACATTATATCTCATATGTTTGCCATGTGTGTCTGTTAAAAATAACTGAGTTTGACAAAAAGTGGGAAAGGTTAAAAGGCAAAAGGTCCTCGCATTGAGAAATAGTGTAGAAACAAATGGTTCCTGGCAACTAAAAGAAAAAAAAAATTACAAATCTTTAAGTCTCTGTTGAATTATTTAGTTTAGGCAAACGTTAACGCCACACTCGTCCTGAGTCGTCCTGTAGCTCTGTCCATGTTATCTCTTTAATGAAAGTCTCTGTCTCCACTCCGTCTCCTGACAACTGTCAACCACCTTAAACATGTTTTTACTGATAGCGCTTCCACCCAGAGTCACAACCTCATGACCTTCACCATCATTAATTACAGCTCAGGAAAATAAATAACAGGCAGAGGGGAGGCTCTCAGCAATTTCAGCCAAGCGTGTTCTGTCTTGCTTAGCTTGTTAACACATTTTTCTGCTTCATCTTCTACTTGTAATCGGACTGATTATCAGATCATACTCTGAAACTGTACTGCTGCGCATGTTGAGGTGACAGATGGAGCAAGTTAAACTTTTCGAGTATGCGACTGACTCTATACGTGAACCCAAACAATCAGTTTGTGAACTCAGTTCTGCGTTCTGTTCTACATGACAGGATTGAAAATATGCCTTTCTTTTGGTTTGGTTTTTTCATAAGCAGAGATGTGATCAGTTTTACTATGAGTCAGTCTAGACTTATTTGGTATTGTAGTCTAAAAAAGTAAAATATCCTGTCTAGACATGTAGTCATATTTTTAAGGTTATCATTCTTTTTTTTGTTTTCTAACCCCATGAAGTCAATATTTCCTTGCTCTTAAGTAGTTTTAGCTGCTAACCTTAATTACCTCTCAAATCTAGTGGGCAGATAAGAAAATACACTATTATTAATACTTTTTGGAGACGCAATACTGCATATTTGAAACAAATCACTGCAGAACTAACTGTTTGGACAGTCAGAAGAATTTCTAACTTGTCAGAAATGTTGGTCGACTGTCTTCAGGCTCTTCATGAGCCGATTCCCCCACTATCAGCAACTTTTTTCACTGACTCTTCGCAAAATGCAGTGCAAGTAGGAAATGTTGTTCATGGCTGGAAGCAATTGTACAACAAGTAAGAAAAAAAGGGAAGAAATGGGCACTTACAGCACAGTAATCAGAGTGTGGCTATAGCCATCAACATATAATACAGTACAGTTGCCTCAAACGTTGCTTCCTTAGCTCCAATTCTTTCTTTAAATTAGCCAAACCAAAATGCCCACCTCTTCCACATACCTGCGTGTCAATATCCATGTGCTTATTTTCTTGGACATTTCAGCTTGTCCAGAGGAGCTGATGGTAACCTGGAGTCAGGTTGTGTCAGATGAACAATTCTAGATATCCACAGAGTAATTCCAGCTTAAAAGTGGTACCTAAATATAGTTCCTTGAGTAATTGCGTTATTATTTGGACTGAAAAAGGTAGTATAAAATAGTATTCTCTATATTGACTTGTGCTTTGATAAATTATGTTTATGTTTCAAACAGAAAGTAAATCTCTCAAATCTGAAAGTATTCTATATTGTTTACACTGGTAAAATACAAAACTAACAGTAACATGTGGGCTCCAGATTTTGGATGATGCACTGCAAATCCTCTTAATAGCTTTTGAATGGATTTTGTTTTAGAATTAATTAGAAAAAGATGCTGCAGAGGCAAGAGACCAAGCGTCATCTGTCTCTACCAGTCTTCTGCTCTTTCTGCTGTCAGGATGCTGGTTCATGTTGGTCACAGCTCATATGCCTGCCAGGAAGCCAAGATAGGTGACTGTGGTTTTCTGCCCCGAAATGAATTTTTGATTGGTTACATGTTGTAGTCGGTAGATATTTGCAAAAATCACCGTTTTTTGCCATGACTAAATGTTTTTGGGGGAACATAGAAAACTGGTTTCTTTGAGGATCAAACAGCTGCTGAGACCAAAGGATTGGACAGACGAGTTCATCCAGCTGTTCAGCTTTGAACTGCCTCCACGGTGTTTGTGTGAGCCTGTGATTGTTTTTGAGGTCCTGTTGACTGTTATGTCTTGTACATGTGCATATTTGTCTGTGTGTTTCCTCATTTCCTGTTAAAATAACAGACTCTGACTTCTCTCCTCTGAACATTGGTTGTTTATATTGGAAACGACTCTCCGTGTCCAAACTTGCCGCTCCCTGCCCGGGTCAGGCCGGTGAAGCTTTCATTGCTATTAGCTTCACTTTAACTCTATGGCGGCTCCATTTTACACGTCGATGAAAATACTAACATCATTGAAGGTTAAACCCTAACCCTAACTAACTAATAGCAACTAACAAATAGTGTCCTGATTAAGGGGCTGCCTGCTTTGGAAGACACTGTCTACTCAGCCCACAAAAAGAGTCTTCGAGGGCTTCAAAGACCAAGAAGGCAAATTCAAAATGAGATGGTCTAATCTACAGGTTTCCATAATCAGCGTCACCAGCTAGTTTTGCCCTTATTGCTGTTGCCTATAGCAACAGAGCTGACGGTGGACATGATTGTGTACCATTAGCTGTTGGATTGAGTTGAAGCACTTGCTGGTGCCATTACCTTTTTGAAAAAAAATGAACCCTGGGATAGGTTTGGCCGTGAAGGATCCAACCATTGGAGTCTTCATTTCTCGGGGATGAAATAACACATTTATCAGCCGCATTTGAAGGAGAGGAGGAAATGGGACAAGTTAAGTTGTGCCACTGTCACACAATTGGTCTTAAAATGCAGCCTTTAAAGGATGCAACCCTTGGATTGAGTTTCCAGTCAGATCTTCATCAATAGATAATTTTGGTTGCAACTGTTACATTCCTCCATTTAAATTCCCTGAGGTTTTAGAAATGTGCAAGAGGTTGAAAGGCCAGACTTCTCATCCCTGGACCAACTTGGAGACAAAACAGTCTGAGAAACATTTTCCTTGACCTTAGGCAAATCTCTTTTGATCATCTACATGCAGCATACTTAACGTGTCAGAGCCAAATTGTGACGCTAGGTTGTACTTATAATAAACAAATCAAACCATAATTAAATGATTTGGAGCCTGTGGTGCTGTTACTGCTCATGTTTCTCAAAATAAAGACCACATTTTGACATAAACCCTGTTTCTTTATGTTATGAGGAAGATATTTGTCTCCAGTCCTGCTCTCTGGAGTCACCTTCTCGGCTGTTTTGGCCAAAGTTTCTCATTCTTCTTCTGAAAAACATAAACTTGTGCATGTCGAGTTGTCATGTGGTCAGAAGTAAAATAAAGGTTGCATTAATACACTGGTAAGAAGTAGTATAGTGGTTAGACCTTTGTTGGACATTTGGGAAGTGATTTTCGTCTTTTCTTGGAAGCACAGTGACCTCCTTATGTTTCACATTGTGCAGTTGAAATCATGAGATATCAGCGTATTGTGCATCAAAATGGCCTAGAGCGGCCTTGGCAATGTTTTTTGTTTGATTATGATAATGACAAATGCCTGTCAGACCAAATGTAACAATAATGTTTTGTTGAAAATGATATATATACTTTTTAAACCTCCAAGACACAAAGCTGTGGTTTCTCTGGGCAGCGTCAAAGTCTGATCTGTATGAATGGACAGCAGAGTATTGTTGGGAAAGCCTATGTGGTCAGCCAACCTTCTCTTCATAATAAAAGGTTAATAAATTAACATTGTTGATTTTTTTTCACAACGTAGTTCTGACTGTGGATATTTAGGCAATGATTGAATCTCTCCAGTTTCATTTCTGGCTGGATGTTTAAAACCTTTCACTTAAATCTCCCAGTGAGACAAAACCATCAAACCACTTCATCTTCTGTTTAACTCCCTTCAATGCCACTTAATCTCTGACAAGACCACACAGACGTGTAAAACCCAAAATCCCAGGGTGGAAGAACAGAGAGGCATTTTCTTTGTTCAACATTTCATTCCACCCTTTGCTCACATCGGCCACACACAAATCTCCAAGACGACTCCCTGAGTGGAGGAATGGAAATACAGGAGAGACGGATTTCTGCTCACTCTCAGTCCACTTGGTAGACATCGTATTTCTCCTGAAAGAATCTAGAGACTGTGGCCTCCAGCCTGGTGATGGTTCCAGTAGCCTGGACATAAATTCTGCAGCGGTTTGGCATGAGTTAAGTCAGCCTATATTGATTTGTGAAAAATAATTAGGGGGTAAAAACCTGCCAGAAACTCTTAATAAAGCTGCCAAAGTTTCTTGATGGTAGCCCCTATACCTCAATATAAATCTGCACCTTTCAACTCCAGATTCTTCCTCTTTATGTACATTGAATAATTTGCCTTCAATTTAGATTTATGAAACACATTCTTAATTTAAATGGCTTTCTGTTTAGTTTATGACTGGTCTGGTTTTGTTTGGGTAGAGAGACGAGCCATCGGGAAAGGGCCATATGATGATGTAAACTATTCCTCGTAGCGCGGTGACATGGTTTACATCAGGTCTGAAACCCCTCAGAGAAAACCATCAACAATGTTTGAGCGCCCGACTGTGACTTTGAGGGGGACGCAGGCCACACACAAACACAAGATGACAGATTAACTAGGCCTTGTCACACACGAGACATGTTCTTGTAAAACACAAAAAGATGCATTTATGTGGAGAAATTAAGAAAAGGCAAGTAAACAAAAAACATGCAAGTGAAAAAAAAGACAAAGAAACTTGCAGCCAAATCCCATGTATTTAATTATGCATTTGCACATGAATACACAGAGAAACACCAGGCGCTTATTCTGCAGATATTAGTTTGACCTTGTTAACTTGAGAGAATGACACCCGGCCCAATCCTTTCCTTTTCTGCTGACACCTGTTTTGTCTGCTTCTGCTGGGACAGTCAAGAAGCAGGAAGTAGTCGTGCCCTCTGCTTCCTCTGGACCTCAGTGTAGTGCAGAAAAGTCCTGATTCATGTTTCCTCAGCCACTGCTTCATTTGTTCTCGCTCCACTCTGTGCTTAAATGTCCATGTCCAGGACCTTAAACAATTGTTTCAGTGGTTTTTGAGTTACAAACTTATTGTGTTAGGGTGTCTTATGAAGCAACGACAGTTTATATCTTTCTCCCTGATCTGCCTTCTTTTTTATTTTCCTATTTTCAACATTCAACACACCACAGTTAAAGCCATTTTCATCATTGGTGTCTTCATCATATGTTTGTCATTTCCACAAATCTCAGCTTTAAACCCTCAAATTATCCACCACGTTTCTGCGCTGGCACAGAGGCGTTTGTGATGTTCCACAGAACATCTTGACAAGATCATGACAAAGCTTGCCTGACCCAAATGTGATGAAAATTGCTCCACAACATCAGCATGTCACTTTGGCAGAAATCCAAAAATTGGAGATACAATTCCTGTGTGGGACACTGAGGATATCGCATTTCTTCTAATAAAGCCCTTTTCTTATCCCTCCATGCAAACATATGGGATCAATCAACCGTGTATTAAATAGTTTTGGTTCACTCTCATACCCAGAAAACCAACTTCACTGCATTTTGATGACAGTTACTGTTGCACTGTGTTATTTCATTTAAGAGTGTAAGAGTTAAGTGTGTGTGTGTGTGTGTGTGTGTGTGTGTGTGTGTGTTAAATTTTACATTGTTTACCTGCACAGAATTTTCCTGCTGTACCCTGAGAATGTTATGGATGCCACTTATTGTTTTAATTTTTTTATGTTGCATGGAAAATAAGTCATGCCGCATATCCAAATCAAGAACTTAAAGCAATCCATTCACCAAATAGTGCAGGGACAAATTCACTGTGGCAGCCATGATACTGAGATAAAAAGAATTTTCTATTGAAGTGGACGATGCAAAAAATGTGCTGCAACATATACTGAACCTTTTCTCATATTTCTTTGAGGTTTTACTTTGTATGTTTGTTTTGCAGACGGAGTGTGCCAACTTTGTTCGTCTCCTGCAGCCATACAACCGCACTCACCTCCTGGCCTGTGGCACCGGTGCTTTCCAGCCCATGTGTGCTTTCGTCTATGTGGGACACAGAGGCGAGGTAAGGCTGTGTGAAGATAAGCTGTGTGTGTTGTACTGGCATCCACAAGCAAAAAGTACAGTTGTTATTGATATCAACTCTGGTATATGCTGATGTCACAGTTGAGTAGGGTTATATTGTACCCTTCCACACTGAAGTATATGACTGCAGGTTTTTTTACTCTGTTTTTGTCTAAAACGAGTGTTTGGAAGCTCTAATACATATTTCAATATATATTTCACACTCTGTGTAAACACTACAGAGCAGGTTCAGTTTGGATTGTGCAGTTTACTTGGTATTTATTAAGTAAAAGTTGAATCACTCCAGTATCAACATTTCCAGGGTCATTATGATACTTTATCGGTTACAGACAGAATTTGACAACTACATATATAAATTTAAACTGAGCATATGATAATACAAATTTGTGAGAAAGAAACTCAGGAGAAAAAAGTAATTTGAAAAAGACAAAGTGACCATTAAAACTGAATAGATGAAGCCATTATTGACCACTAGAGAACAAAATGACCCACAAACTCAAAGACAAAGTACTGATAATATATCAGCTAATGTTAATGAACCATTTTCTAATGTACACTCATCCATTTATAGTCTCATCCAAGCTCTGGTTTGGCCTCTGCATTTGGTTTTCTTGGGTTTTTAGTGGCTAAACGACTGTCTATTGTAGTGGTGCATTGTGAGCTTGGTGAAGGATGATGTCGTCTCACAGTGATGCATTAGATAACCAAATCTATTGCAGTGTTTCTGTAACACCAGACAGGTTGAATTTATTTTACCTCTGAATAAAGTAGAAATCAAATGAAATAGAGTCTACATAAAGCCTCAAAGGATGGTGGTCAAACTTGGATACAGTGAATGAAGTGGCCAGAAGTAAATGTCGCACAGCGTCATGATGAGAAAATATAAAATCACTGGGTGGCCTCGAAGCAGCTCTGTGGTGGAAATCAGGCTAATTGAACAAACATGGTTTAAGCCCAGATGTGTTTTTCAGAGAAACACAGTTCAGATTGGCCCGACTTGACACTCAGATCCCTGGGGCTCAAGGTCAAGCATGAGCAAGCAGCTCTGTCATGGGTCCTTCTGTAGCAGTACTCAGCCGTTCAGTCAGACCCTCTATACATCTTTTCAACTCCACAGACTAGCTCTCTACTCAGCCACTCAGATCAAGGGGGCCCGCTGCAGAGTCTCACTCTTGGAGCCTTTTAAAAGACTTGAATCAATGAATGAAGCTACTAAGACAGAGTGGAAGCTGGCTCCTTCACAGTGGCCCAACAGATCACAGCTCGGTGTGGCGCCCTGCCTGGCCCAGCGGGAGAAGGTCACACTGGACATATGGTGGGGAGAAAGCTGGATGTTGGCATAGAGTTAAGTAAGAGAAAGGAGACGGGCAGGGGAATGCCGGAAATGTATTCCAGAGAGAGGGAGAAGTGTTTGCATATGAGTGTGTGTGTGGCTTGTGAATTGTGTGGCTTGCGACACAAAGTCTTATTTTTTTCTCATGGATTTAGGTGCTTGTCACAGTGTGTGTTCTCCTTCGTGCTTTTTTCTGCCTTCCTCTCAATCTGTCATCGTCAGTGCGGTTTTTGGACTCTGGGTTTTTATGGCACATCGTGAAAAACTGCACACGCTTTCCTTTACTTGTGCTAAATAACTTTGAGCGTAGAAATGGTATACAGTGTGTGTGTGTGTGTGTGTTAGTGTGGCTGAGGAAATGAAAGTACAAAAAATTGAAAAGATATTAAAAGAAGTCAGAAGTATCCTGTGTCCTTAGGTAGAGCAGATATGTCATGAAAAAAGTTTTTTATAAACCAACTCAGGAACTGAAGTGCACGATCTTCTTAACAAAGCATTTGAACTGCATTTGCGCTGTATGATTTTTTCCCAATTATTTCAAGTTTGATACAGAGATGGTTTATCACTATAACTCGAGGCTTACAGTGAGTTGCACTTGCACACCTGCTTCTAAGGAATAAAACAACCCACATTTAGTCAGACAACCCTTCTTCAATAAAAGAGTTTCAGCCATGTTTGGAAATGTTACGCTTGGAATTTCTGAGTCAAACTGTGTAAAATTGTGTGTTGTTTACTAGTTTTGTGATAGTGCAGCTGTCTTCGCAGACATCGCTGCATTTGTTTAATTTGCTCAAGGGAATGTGTGTATGTGTTTATGAGAGAGAGAGATGGAGTGTTTGTGTGTCTATAGCTGCATAAACAGGTGTGTGAAATGATTAACAGGTTATGTCAGCTGACTGACTGTGTGTGTGTGTGTGTGTGTGTGTGTCATCACTCAGACCACAGCCATGTCCTTTCAGTTGGTCAGTGTGTCTCTCTGGATGGACGACACCACAGGGAGCCTGTCCATTTATTTAACCAATCGTTAACTGGTGGAGAACACACACCCGTCTGTTTGTCTGACCTCAGACAGAGGCTGCAAGCCCTCAAACTGGACTCTGGGTGGGATGACCTTTGACCTTCTACGTGTTTCATCTCAGTTAGCGGCAGAAACGCATATACTCCCTGTGTCTTTCTTATGCCGCCTCTGTCTCTGTCCTCTACTGCTGTCACACACTAAACGCAAAATGCGTGAATGTTGCAAGAAAAACACGGGATTGGATTAAACTGTTATTGTTCTCTATTGTCAGGCAATAGAGACTTGACTGTATTTCATGATTTCACACAGACATCAAAACTAAGAGATGCATTCAGCAACAACCTAGAATACAAATCAATTCAAATATATTCATAATGGAAGGAAATGTCAGTGGGTTTAATGTTTCTGGTTGCTCACATTTCAAAGTTATTGTGCACTTAAGCTTAATTTCATCTCACCAATCAGGAAAAGATTACAGCATGATCATATAAAATGTCTCTATTGTTGGTCCATTACATTTTTCTTTATTGTTTTGCTTACTCTGGAGTCTGTCTTTCTCACTCAGACACACACACACACACA